TTTGGGGCTCCCTAAATCAACTAAGGGGTTTTTTAGCCTTTTTTGCTTTTGTTACATCTACTATTAAGATGAAAAACAATGACAGAATTTGCTAGAGATACTGCCTTCTGAACTAGGAAGAGTAAATAATGTGACAGAGCATGAGGTAAGTAAATAACAGTGATGATAACATAGAAATCTTATTTATTCATACTCTCTTGGAACCTCATTGAGATTTTCTCCCTCTTCCTCTTTTACAAATCTTGCTTTGGAGTTTGGGTAAGAATCTTGTTTTCGTTTGGTGGTTCTCTGAAACTGAATACAGCACAGGTGGCATTTTTCTTTTTATCCTCTTTTCTCTCTTCCACTAGAAATGGTGAGATTTTTAGAACAAAGTGTTTAAGCTGAGGCTCTTAAATTCATATCTAATTCCCAAAAGGTCTGTTTTAAAAAGCTTAGTATTTAATTGTGTTACTGCTCGTTGTTAATTTGAAAAAGTACCATTTTAGAATTCTTAATGATTGAAATTGTTACTGAAAATTATAGAAAAATAATGCTGAGGGAATTTGAACACTTGGTTATGTTTCCCACTTTATTGAAAGCTGTTATAATTTAGCTGCAACTAATTTATAAGTTGCCTTTTTAGTTTAATAATTTGTGATTTCTTTGATGTGGTTTCTCCTAATGAAGGGAGATAGGCAGGAGGAAAACTGCACTTGTATATTTTGAAGACATTTACGGTAATAGTGATAACATCTCAGTCTCATAGCTCAGAAAAAGAAAAATGCTGTTGCATCTTCTACAGCAGCCATCTGCTGTTCATACTGGTACTCAGTGGCTTGCACACAACACAACTGGACCTGCATTCTCATTGAAGAAAGTATTGATGAACAATTGATTCCCTGCTGATTGCTCAGGGTTTGAAACTTACCATGGTCCAGGGAACCATGAAACTTAATACCATTCTGAGATTAATACTACATATCCAGAAAAAGAATACTGCATGTCCAGAATACTTTATTTTACAAATAAAAGGCAAAATTTCAGATTAAGTATTCTTTTTGACAGTAAAGGTTTTTATGGCTTATTAATATAATATAATAAGACACGACCCAGCAGTTAGGATTTCCAACAACCAAATCCTTTATTAAAAGGAAAAACCCCCTTTATATACCCTCAGGGGACATGTGATTCACCTGGACCCAATCACTGTAGGGTACACACTGCCCATGTGTGTCAGTGTTTTACCTGGAGACTCAGAATACATCACCCTGCATCCCTGGGATATGCCTCCTACAGGCTTTATTTCTTTAATTACTATTTTGTCTTTTTGTGAGTTACACTTAACTTTTGAAATAACTCTCCTCTTTGAAAATTTATATCTTTGTTGAAATAAAACAAGTTATACCGGATAGTCTGAGAAAGTCTGGAAAGGTGGTCAATAGCAAACTGTTTGCTTAAATAAACCTTCAGTATGATGACTGTTGGGGAAAGGACTGGTGTCCTGGCTGGTATCCTGCTGGCCAGGGAGTCCCCTGTGGCTGCTCAAGCTTGCCCTGCTGCTTAGTGGTTAATGAGGAATAATAATCAGGGAACTCTAACACATTGAACAAAGTAGGAGGGAGGATGTGGCTTCAGAAGGCAGTAATGCCTTTCCCAGCCAGGGAAGAAGGAACTCCTTTACCTGCAGTGGAAACAACTATGTACTAATAAGAGCGGTCTCAGTAAGGTTCTTGCTCATCTTTCTTTTCCCACCCAAGAATTGTCTGCCTTGAATAAATTCCTTTCTATCCTTTAGGTATCTTATCATTTCCCAGGTGTTCTTCCATAGAGAAGCTCAAAGCCATGCTTTTGCCATTAGTTCCTCATGTCTGATAAAGGGTTATCTACCAAGCTGCGCTGAAGCTTAGTCAGAGCTGAGCCAAGTCAGTTCCTGTGCTATGGCATTCATGTAATTCAGTTTCTCCTGGGGGAAGCCACAGGACAGAAATAAAGTAGAATATGGTAAAGTTTGTAGATTTCTTAAGTAATTCCATTTAGAAATAAGGTATATCATTAAGATTACAATCAAGTATGCTCAAGTGCTAATTTTTGTAACCGAATTTGTTTAAAGTGCTTTTATATTCTGTGGTCCAAAATTAACAGTAGAAAAATCTGAACAGTCACAAAGTAAAGAGAGATTTATAGTAGTGTCACAAGAAGAGAGCTGCATCATAAACAGGCTCCTTCTGGGTGGAATTGTAATGGGCATCAATAGTCTCAGGAGTTCTGTCTGCTGTCATTCAGATTAGTTTGATTAGGTATGAAAATGCGGAGGATTTGTTCTATTTGATTTAGAAGCAACTCTTTTGAAATGAAAATTTCTGTGACTTGTACTGATGTGTGTTAAAGTGTCTGTTGATCTATACCTACATTCAAGAATATTATGTCCCATTTTACTGTCACATTTCTTCTGTAACTTTCAGTGTCTTTCACACACGTGATTAATCTGTAGATGAATTAAGCACTTACAGGAGATCAAGAACTTTATGATCAGACACGACATTAACTTTTTATGATATGCTAATATGTATCCATTTCTTTGTGTGCCTTATTGATTTATTATTAAGTATTGACAGCTATCTAAAATTATTGAATGATTTCATATTCAACTCAGTGCAATTCAAATAGATTTAGTGAGACAACATACTTGAAGTAGAAAGTCTTATCCTTGTTACTGTCCACTTTACTGCGCTGTTCATATTATAGTTTATTAATGAAAAGCAATTATCTGAACCACTTACATTTTTTTTTGAACCAGTATTTAAATGAATATCTAACACACTGCAAATTAGAAAATTTGGTTTCTTTTTTGTTTCTTTTTTAATGCCAGAATTATACACCGATATAATGTAGATGACAGTGTCCCTTCTCTTAGATTTTTTTCTTACTATCTGCTGAAGAAACTGGTTGGGTGCAGTTTAACAGGGGTTATATCAAACACAGCTGATCAAACTTTGAATAATTCTCTGATTGTGAAAAATCTGGCAGAACTATGATAATGTAATGCATGGGTTAAAGTGGTAAAATGAATGGCTGAAGGTTTTCCTAAAAACTGCAGATAGTGATTAATGTACTGATACAGTGATAACAAATCCTTCAACAGATCATTTGAATCCAGTTTATGGTGCCATTTTCATTGATTAGTCCTCTGAAGGATCATCATAGGATTTTTTTTTTCATAAACAAGCTTTTGAAATGCCACATTGTCAATATATTCAAAAAATTGTTCATAGAACTACTGAATCCTTGAAAGTTAAACAGTAAAAAAATCCATCAAATTTTTATTCTATAACTTTTTGCCTTTTAATGTACTTATTTCAATACTAAAAGACATTATGTTAATACCTCCAAGTAGTAATTTTTGTGATTTGGGTTTTTTTTACAGCTTTCTTTGCAAATTGTTTTCTTCAGTTTGAGTTTCATTGTTAAAGGAAAATGTGCAGTTTGATGACACTTCCTATCTGTTTGTAGGATAACAGCTTCTGAATGAGACGTCCAGTCAGCAAAAAATATCTATTACAAGGAGGAGATGATGAAAATATGTTTCATATGATGTTTGATCAGTGAGGCAGTAGTTTTAATCGATAATCTTGTTTATAGGAGAAAAATAAATTGGTGGATATTGAGAAATTCCTCTCAAGTCTTCCCGCCAAAGGATAAGGAATGGTAAAGGTTGGATCCCATCATACAGCGTGGTGAAGTGGTACAGGAATTCACATGATGAGGCTAAGAGGTTTTCTGTGCTGGAAGTTTGGGTGAATAGAGCCATTTAGGGAGTTACTGGAGTGTAAACTGTGCACAGCTTACAAGAGCAATGATCTGTGTGATTTTGTGACATTGTGCTTAAGAAAAAAAGCATTGAAATTGCAATAGCGATGATTCCCACCCATCTTTTAATTTGCTAAATTCATGTTCACCAAAAAATGTGGAGTATTGTAATTCCCTACAAGGTACACTGTGCAGCATAATTCTTCTATACTCCTTTCGTTGTTTTAGTTACCCAGAAAATCTCTGAGTTACTTGCTGAATGTTTTATTTGATGGAAAAAGAGTGAGACATAAATTAATACAAGCCTCCACCTTCCTGAGGAGTTGACAGCAGACTTCACTGGTTGTGTAGACCAAATGAAGTAATGTTGATTCACAGTGCTGCCCTTGAGGAGTGTTTGTTAAAAGATACCAACCCCCCCCCTTGAAGGGAAGTAGAATTTTCACAGTTAAAAGAAAAAGAAAACAAACAAAACACCTTCCTTTAAGATGATCTCAAGCTTTATGTTATAGAATCACAGAATCAACTCAAGGCAGGAGGAGACCTTCAAAATCATCTTAGATCCAACCATCAACCCAGCACCACCATTATCACTAAACCATATCCCCAAGGACCACATCCAGACAATACTTTAACTGGCATTTGTTGTCTTTTCAAGTAGTTATCTGTAATGTTTCAAACCAGCAGCGAAGATACAAGAGATGCAAATATGTGTCTTGCTTATAAGTGGAAAAATTACTTCATTTTCATATACACTGAGGAGGGAAGTGTGGGAGTTATTTTGATTTAACATTAAGTTGTTTTGTATACCAAAATGAAGTTTTCTTATCTTATTTTCACTTGGGGAATTGTTAAAAGCTGGATTCTAGATGCCAATTTCCAGAGCTAGTGTGAAAATTTGCAGAGTGCTTATCTGCATACATACTGTCATGTTGTAGGCTTAATTTCTAATAAAAATTTACTATATGGTGTATATATATATATATATATGTATATATATATATATATATATATATAAAACTCACTGTTTTATAGCAAGTTTTCTGAACTCTTGTATTATAAAGGCTTAGCTTTAAAACTTCTTGGCATGCTTGTGATTGAGTGGTCTGAATATAATAACTTCTTCAGCTCCATTTCCACTGAGAGAAGTAGAAGAAAATGTATCTTACATATTTGCACGGATTAAAAATTCTTTCCTCTTCTTTTCATAGGATAAGAAATGGGTTCTCAATCATGAAGATGTCACACTGGGGGAATTACTGGGCAAAGTAAGTAATAAAGTGAGCTAAATAACATTTGAATAAGTGTACAGTAATCATTAGGCTATTCCTATATACCTTCTCTTTTAAATTACTGTAGTATGTGATTTTTATATCAATTCTTTACCTTAATACACAAGACAAGATGTAAATCACACTTCCTAGTAAATGTTATAACATCTGTGTGAAAAGTATTTAACTACCATACATATTTTTCCTTTCTGGAAGGGTTTTAAGCTACCTAGATTTCTGTAAAGCATGATGTGGCTGTTTTACTTTCTGTAGTCTTACAAAAATGTTGTTGCAAAATATAAATAAAACCATGTTAAGAAACAGGTAAATGTGTATTTATGTATAAGATTTCATACAATGAGATGACTAAATCATTATTTCTTAAAACAAATGGTTGTTTCTTATGTATGATTGCTTTCATTCCTTCACTGATGAATGTTAGGTAACTTCACAATCTTATTGAAATTAATTCTTATATAGTGTAGTTTATAAATTTGTACTTTAGAAATTCTGCTTAGGAACTCTTAAGTCTTTAAAATTAGTTAAGGTCTTCACCTACATTTTTGGCACCTTTGCATCTGTGAAGACCATTGTGAGTGCCACTCTGGACACAATGTTCCAAAAGATTTCCCAAAGACTGAAAACTAAGATTAAATGAGAAGGAGACAAATGAAAGGAGTAGTTACCTTTTTACTGTGATGCACACTAAGAGAATTGATGAGAAGTTCAAGAAATGGGGGAATTCAATACTCTCAGAAAATTCTGTTACCCAGGATAGAATCTCTGTCAGAGTAAGATGACAAAAAGTATTATCTACTGAAAGAGAGAGTTGTGTCTGCATAAAATGCAGATACTGTGACAGCTTCACATTCTTAAACAGAATAGTATCAAGGGAGAAAAATAAAGATGTTTCAGGTATAAAAAAAACTTTTACTTGCTACAAAAATAAATATGAATTAGCGTAGATAAGTAAAGACAATTATTTTACTAAATGAATTTACATATATATTGCATGTTTTTGGCACAAAGCATTTTTAACATTCAATAAAGACAACTCAATACTTGGAAGTGATTATGGAAGGATATGTTCTTTAGAAACTTTCTTGGAACACAGTATAAATCTGTTATGCATCCATCTCTAAAAAGATGTAGTCAAATTGAAAAAGATAAGAGTGACAGGATCATCAGCATCCATATGACAAAATGTTAAGTAAACTACAGACATTCACCATGGAAGTGAGAAATTTGAGAGTCTATAAAATCTTGAGTGGTCTGGAAAAGATGAGGAAGAAATCATGAAAGTTTAGTGCGTAAGAGATACAAACTTTAGAAAAGACAAAGATTTTTCTTTACCTCAGGAGTGAATGGTCAGTTTATTTACTCAGTAATTTTTCTACAATACCTCACAAAATGAAAGTTGCATAACAGGAACATGAAAATCATATCTATATATAAAATAAGAATTCGATATTTTAAATAAAGAAATAAGTATTTTCAAGACTTACGTAGTGCTTTGGGTGGATTCAGATTTCACTGTTTAATACCTCTGACCAGAAGGATAGAGGAAAAGTGTGTTAGGAGCAACTCAACTTCTTACCTTTAGGGACCTCATGCCGTTTCAGATATGAGGTAGTGTACTGACCTTTGGCAATGCTGTTTTAGAGGGGCTGTCATACATCCTATGCCTTGCTTGCCAGCTACATCCTCCTTGTCCTAGGGTATAGAAAATAATACTGGAAATGTGTTTAGCCCTGCGTTTCTTCCTTTGTTACTAGAACCACATTACTGTTTTCCATCTGAGTTTGTTTTTCCCTTTTCTGTCATCTTTGACAATGCTGTATTCAGCTGCATGATGTATGAAATCTTCATCACTCAGGAAAGAAAGGAAAACAATTCTAGCAGTTTTGCTTTTTTTTTTTTTTTTTAAAGTGACATGCAACCCCAGATACCAGGACACTGAAGTGTAATTCATGCGGAAATTAATCAGACATAGGTTGTGCTTATTCTTTGGGAAATATAAAACTTAACTAGAAGTATGAGATCTTCAGTTTTCTTTTTGTTTTTTTTTCACTTGGTTTTTTTAATCCATAATATTGTTTTGTTTTATAACCCACAATTTCCTTCTTCCTTCAATTTGTGTTGTAACTAATTTTCCTTTTGTTTTTATTTAAGTAAAAAATAGGTCTGATGGAGTATGTAAGGAGTATGTAAGCCTTACATGCATCCCTTTATAGAGCAGGGCTGACCTTAGGTTTTAAAGAAATTGTGGATCACCAAACTTTTTGGAGGAAGACAAGACAATACATTTTGCAGTGGGCTTAATTTATGGTCAAGATTAATATTCAGTGTTTTCATTCTTCTTATTTTGTGTTTTTTTCTTTCTTATATATGTGAGAATGTTTATGTTATTTTCATGTGTTTTGTCCTAGTGTTCTGGATAATTTTTGGTGCTGTGCAGACTGCAAGTTAAAAGCTATTCACTAAATACAATAGTGAGAAAACGAAGGTGTGCAGGAGTAAGAATAAGAAAAAAAAGTACTACTATCACTGTCAGTAGAGTTTAAAAGTTACTAAGATATTTTATGAAAAAAATTGTATTTACTTGATTAATGGGTGTTTTTCCCCTCTTTCGAGCAAAGTCAAACTACAGCTCATACACTGTGTCTGTATAATAGATGTACTATATCATGTGAACTGCTGTTGTTAGGGGCAGATACTGGAAGAAAACCTGATTTGACTCCATAAGCACGTTTCAAATTTCTATACTAGTTACATTATATGTCTGCATTATTTTTTTCCGGAGATTTTTGAAGATTTTGTTTACTTAGAATGATTTTTCCCCTCTTGATTTCAGGGTAATTTTGGTGAAGTGTATAAAGGAACATTAAAGGATAAAACTCCTGTTGCTGTGAAAACTTGCAAAGAAGATCTTCCTCAGGAACTGAAAATAAAATTTCTGTCAGAAGCCAGGTAAATTCTCTAAATTTACTTGAAATATGTACTTGTTATGTGGTTTTTTTTCAAGATTTATTACTAAATGGATTTACAAAATGTGACCGTCAAGAAAATTCAAAGCAGTAGTCAAACTTTTTTCTTCCTTTCTCTCCCTCAGTACATTTCACAACTGTCACCCTGGTAACTAAACATAGGCATTTTTATTGTGTAAATGCTGTAGCATCTGCATGTGCTGAACCCGTATCTTTGGCAAAGGAAGCTGTGCCTATAAAGCACAATTTTGCTGTTGTAAGTGCTTTCATTTAGAATGTGCCATGAGGATTGGGATAAGACTGGAAGATGCTGTTAATCATCATCAGGGTAGAGGGCTGTCTTGAGATAATTTCATCATTTTTAAATTATCTTTCTTCCTCTTACTATGAAGCTTCAGATGTTTTAATTTTTACTCACAGGCTAGTATGATCAATATGGGAAAGTAAAAGACACTAACTACATTTATAAAATTAAGATCAGCCACCCTATCTTTTGAATCATTTTAAAAAGCTTGTAACTTGGCAACTGCAGAGATTTTGCATTTGTTAAGAAGCATTTGTTAAGCAGCTTGATGCTACTGGAAAAAATGATCTGAAAGGAAAAAAAGGTGTTATTTTTCACTAAATGTGTATGTACCAGGTATGTTAGTATTTTACTCTTGATCCTAGTAAAAAAGGGAAAAAGAGTAGATGCTTTGAGTCAGCAAATATCAGAAGGAACATTTATGTTACAAAATCTCTGTAGAATTCTTTCTTGCTCTTCATTTCACTTATAAATCATAGCATGCTGTTTTAGGCTGCAAATGTTCTTAATAAAGCATTGTCTAAGAAGATGTACATGTTTTCATTTAAATCTCAAAATTAAAATTGCAGACTTTATAGTCTTCTAAAACTTATTGTATTAATTAATCTCCCAAAGTAAAATTGGAATGAGTGTGCTTTTGAAAAGTGCAGCAGGGAAGTATAGAGATATGCTGTGCATATCTTTTTGATGTAGCTCTATGCCTGCTCCACCACAGAAATGCTACGTAATTACAAGGATTCTTGAGAAACTGTGTACCTGTCAGGTTGTTTTTCAGTTATATAGATAAACATTATGTAGACAAATGTAAAATTAAAATAAGAATAATATAGTGCTCAGTTTTGATGTATTAGTGGATCGCTATGACCTCCATTTCAAACAGTGATGATTAATCTATTACACTGATTTTTTTCCTTTATGATAACAATAATGACATATTCCATTAAAATAACATTAAGGGTTTAAAATATTTTCCCATAATACTTAATTAGTTTGTACAATAAAGTTTATTAATATGATTAACTTACTCTATGTTTTGCAGAATACTCAAACAATATGATCATCCTAATATTGTAAAACTTATAGGAGTTTGCACACAACGACAACCTATTTATATCGTTATGGAGCTTGTTCCAGGTAATTTTTTTCTCCTTTTTTTGCAGTATATTTTCATAAGTATTGTTTCTATAATGCAAAATGTATTTTTTTTTATTTGTCTTTTTCTGCATTCTTGTGACTGACCTCGAAAGTCACCTGTGTTGCAAAATCTTTGGAAACACTGGGTTCTATTAGAGTGGAGAGGAGTGAGCTCCACAAATCTGTTGTTTTACTGTAGCCTTTCAGGACAACAGAAGCTTCATTTTTCCTGTGACAAGATATTAAGTGCTATTTCCTTTAACAGTATAATTAGGTAGTGAAAGTTAGGATGTATTTAAAGAAACTTCATGTCTGAGTGTATCAGGTTTGTTTTTTTTTCTTTACCAGAATGTACTGTTTAGTTTATGAGTTCCTTTTGATTTATTTTTGGCATCTGGAGTTCATTTTATTTGCCAATGGCTGGAGAGAATTTTAGATTGTTGAGATGAAAACAGATTTCAGGCAATTGTACCTCTTTGTTGATTTTCTCAGCAGCTGGAAAATGTGTTTGTTTGCTAGCCGCTAGTACTGCTTAATATGCAACACTGTATTTGCTTTATATATATCACTGGATTTGTCTTCAAAACTATACAGTAAGAAGGCTTTAAGAACCATTTTATTCATAATGCTTAAATTGTTTATAATTCTTGAATTCTGGCCTTAGTACAAGAGCACTGATGAAATATTTGACCTCATGGAGTTTTCTGCCTTTATTCAATTAGATTATATTAGATTATTATATTTGTATGAGTGAATAACTTTATTAAAATTAAGACTAAAAGCAGTGTCCTCAGTTTTGAGGAGTACTTTGGTAATCAGCTTCTCCAAATATCTCTGAAGGTAAAAGTAAATCCTGATCTTTTAATACCTTTATCATTCTGGTTCAGGTTTTTCAGAACAAGGAGTTGAAACTTAATGCAATTGGGGAGGAATTAGTGAGAACTTCTCTCTGATTCTTATGCCTATTTTGCAGTCCAAGTCTGTCCAAACCTTCTTGAGTTGTCTGACTCTGAATTTGCAAGAAACTTCTTGCAAAGATTTTTGCCTTGTTTTGAAGGTCTGTTAATCCTCTGTCTTCTTTGCCTGTATGCCCCCATAAAGACTGTACAACATCCAAGCCATCACACTTTCCCATGGGCTCTTGGGAGCACACTGTGAGAGGGACCAAATCAGCAGGAATCCATAGGGATGCCAACTCTAAAGAAATTGACAAAGGAAAGACAAATCACTTAGATCAGTTCAGAGAAGCAGTGATTCTGATGTTACTGTTTTTCTGTTTTCTAATGACAGGTTTGGATGAGATTACAAAAAATGATAGTTTATAGTGCCCTGACTTGGTATTTAAGTCTGCCCCTTAAAGAACAGAATACTGGTAAACTTACCTTGCACTCGACACTTACCTTTCTCAGTATCTTCATTGTCTATCTTTAAATTTGTTTATGCTTGAAGGTGTTTAGGCAGTTTAACTCTGACATTCTGTTAAATAACTAAAAATGTCATGTTTTAGCTTAGAATTGTATTCTGTGATTGTATGGCTCAGAAGGCAGGTAATTAATAAATGTCTAACAGTTTATTCCCTGAGGAAAAAATTAGAAGCATCTCCATAAAACTAGGGATTTCTCCTGGGTTTTTTCTGAGTTCTGTTTAATGTTTGCAATTTTTCTGCTGTTTTTATATCCCAAATAAATGTAGGCTGTACACTTGCTATGTCTTTTGAGACTGCTGTGATGTGGTTCCATAGCAGCTAATTCTGCTTTGCATTCCAGATTCTGATTTCAATTCAGAGTCTTAATTTATTCAGATATTAAAAATATTCTTTGAAACTTACACTGTATGTAGAGAGGTGCTACTTTGTTAGTGATTCTGTCATAAACTGTCTCTGCAGAGAAATCATTTTTCTTTGTTGCAAGTGTAAATGGTATTAAAAACTACATGTGTGGATAAAGTCATCAATGAAAACAAGAGAGAAAGGTTGGAGATGCATTTTAAGCGTGTATCCGTCCATTGAGATGCGCAAAAATAGTCCAGATGTTGCCAACAAATAACACAGAAATAAAGAAAGTTGACAAAGACAATGACAAAGACAATTATCCTTTGGAGATAGACCCCTTTTCTTGTGCAGGGAGGGGAGATGGGTGTTAACATAAGTGATGTGTGTCTTAGAGTAAGAATCACATTAATAAAGAAATGTCAAGATGGGTGATGTAGCAAGGTTTAACTGAAGTAATAAATAATGTAGCAGAGCATATTGTGGAATCAAAGTCAAAGTGAAAGCATAGCTGAAAAATTCTATATGTTAGTGAAAAAGAACCATCATTTACTTACTATTCACTTGCTGTTAATCATGCTGATCTCACTGTCTGTGTCCACCCAGTGTCAATCCACCATAGATTACTCCAGTACAGAAAGACAGACTTGGTTATCCTTTTCACAGTCCACGACCTGTCAAGAAATGAGAAAAATATCTTAATATATTATATGTATTTTATAAATTCTCTTTCAAGGGATGACATGTAGAAAAATACATCCCATCTCCCTGGCATTGGCTGGGTTGTTGGGGACCAGGTCTCTTCTCTGCTTGGTCTTGTCCTACATGTCTTTCTGCCGGTTCCTCTACAAGTGGGAAGGAACGTCCTGTAAGCAGAACGTGGCATCTTTTTCTAGGGTTGGATAACTCTAGGCCTCCTCATTTCTCAGTCAACATCTAATAAAAAAAACCAGTCCTTCAAACTGAGAAAGGAGAAACCCTGAAAAGACAGAACTTGGGCATTTTTTGTATTTGTAACCATATTTTTATGATGGTACCATTGATGATGACATGAACTTAGGATGCTTTTTCCACTAGATTGAAAACACAGGAATAAGAGAAGCTGCAGGAGTCTTGTATCAAGTTAAGAGAGTCCAGTAAACTGGTAAAAGACAATTTGTTCTGAGGACTCAAAGTTCATAACAACTATTGAAACAAAGATGTATTTTACAGTTGTCTAATAAAATATGCCCCATGAGCATCACAAGATAGGACTCTTTCTTATGTTTTAAAGAATGTGTATTGGGAAACATGCATTTTGATATGGGAAAAAGCTATTGGAATATTTTTTGAAAGGGCCGAGTTCTCCTGTTTCTGGGTTAAGCAGTTGGTACTGTTGCCCAAGTAAAGATGTGTAATAAATAGTTTTTTTAATACAGAAAAGCATTTTCTGTCAACTGTTTTTTATTCTTTGTGACACACATACCACAAATAATAATCTCAGTAAGTTGTGATGACTACCTACAATAAGTAACCCTCAATCAATATTCCAAAGAACATTATTTGGAAGGTATGTGCTTCTGTCATGTAGTGCCCAGTTTAATTATTATACAATTTAGATTTATTATTGCTTTCTAAAAGCTATTCTTCTAATTGATTAAAAAAATAAACTAAAATATTAATTGTCATATATGAACAGAAGCTAAAATGCATGAAATCCTAAACAAATTGTCTTCCCTTGCCTCCCCTTTCCTTCCCGAAATGGCCAAGACAGTAATTGAAATTGAGTCAACGAACCCTTACTATTTTTCTTATAAAAATGTTATATATTTTTAAATTGATATCTATACAAATCTGATTTGCAGGCTTAAGCTATGATAGCTACCTGCTGTGAAAAAGCAATTTAACCAAGCAAATGGTTTTAAAATGTTGATTTGTGATTGTGTAATGGATAAATTCGCAATAACCTTTAAAGCACTCTTGCAAATAATAAATTTTATTCTTTTTACCCTAATGACATTGAAATATTAACTAAAATTAACTAAATATTAACTGCCCAGATCCTTATAAGAGCTTCTCACCTACCACGTAACAAAAAATAACTTGAATTTTACAGTGCCGTAATTTTTTCCCCCATTAAATTTTTAGTGGAATAAGAACGGAGAAAACGATTCTGAAATTATCTTTGTATTAAAGCATTTTGTTAAGAGAGAACTTTAACATAGAGTTTTCTTCTTCTTTTATGTTACTTACTTTCTCTATGAACTTTGACGTGAGTCTTTCCCGTGGACTGCAATTCTTGACAGACTGCTCCACCATGGGTCCATTCCATAAGGTGGAGTCCTTCAGGGATAGATTGTCCCAGTGTGGGCCCCCCACGGGGCCAAACGTCCTGTCAGGAGCCTGCTCCAGTGCAGGCTTCCCACAGGGCCACAACTTCCTTTAGGCATCCAGTTACCTCACCGAGGGCTGCTCCACGGGCTGCAGGGGAATCTCTGCTCTGGCTTTTGGAGCATCTCCTCCTTCTCCTCTAACCTTCGTATCTGCAGGTTCGTCTCACATATTCTCACTCATCTCTTCTCTGGCTGTGTCATGATTTGAGAAAACCTTCCCTTCTGGAGCTGGAAGATGGGTAGCTGCAGGGGTGGTGTTTTTGGTGCTGAGCCAATTATAGCTTGGTATGTCCCTGTGGAAATGACATATTCCCATACACACCAGAAAAGAAGCAGTTGGAATTAGGGAAACCATGAGGTGAGAGAGATAGCAGAGGGGCAGGCAGGCCTCCTCGTGGGGGCCAGGCCCCTCTTTCCCCCCAGGCCGGGCTGCAGGGGGCCCAGTGTGGTGTTAAAACTGGACTGGGTGCTGTGACCAAGGGCTGGGGTGTTTTCACCTCCCGCCACCAGCAAGAGGCAGCAGCGTGGGGCTTGAGTGGCCAGCCAGTGGCTGGAGCCAGGCCCCCGGCGGGCAGGCACAGCACTGGAGCCAAGCCAACGCAGGCCAAGGGGTGGCCTGCAGTGAGTCAGGCCGATAGCCATGACCCTGGAGAAGCGGCAGCAACATGCAGCCATGGAGTAGCCCGGGATGGGCTAGGGCACACAGCCATGATGCTGAAGTGGCGGCAGCATACAAAATGCAGAGCAGACCTGGAATGGCCCAGATGGTACCAGCGTCCAGCTGAGACAGAGCAGACGGAGAGAGGTCTGCTGGAGCGTTCTTGGGGTAGGGACTTGAGCCAAAACCCCCAGAACCCTTT